TTTAATAATAGATTTGGTGGTCTCTGCTTGGCTAGTGGTGTGCAACCTATTGTAAGAAGTAAGTTTAAACTTTCCTTTGAAATAAAACATTTTTATTGCAAACATTCTAGAAATAATGTTAATAAATTTTTTTAATTTATATTTTTAGGTAATAAAATTTATAGTAATCAAGATGCCGTTGAAAAGGCAGTCTGTAATGGTCAATGTTTGTATAAAATTTCATNCTGTAATGGTCAATGTTTGTATAAAATTTCATCTTATACATCTTTTCCAATGCATGATTTTTATCGTTGTCAAACGTGCAACACGACTGATAGAAATGCAATTTGTGTAAATTGTATAAAAACGTGTCATGCTGGACATGATGTTGAATTTATCAGACATGACAGGTAATAAGTGAAAAAATTATTCTCATTATGTTTTGCAATTAATTAATATTCACACTATTTTCAAAAATAAAAAACATTTATTAGAAATCAAATTTTTTTAATTTTAAAAATTTGTTCAAAGATCAATGAACCATTTTTAATCTCATTTTTTATATTAAATATTTTATTGCACATTAATGTAATATTATTTTAGATTCTTTTGTGATTGTGGAGCTGGTACCTTAAATAACCAATGCCAATTGCAAGGTGAACCAACTCAAGACACAGATACACTGTATGATTCAGCTGCTCCTATTGAATCACATACTCTAATGGTAAATTAAATTAAATAATAATAATGTTGAATCTCCACTATAGTATTCATAAATATGAAAATTTTATGTGTATCATATAAGTATTAAAGAAATTGTACATCTCATCCTACATATAATGTTGATGTTGTTATAGTTATTATATTATGATCTGGGACGATTTACTTAATGTTAAGTATTTAAATTCTTCATTCCTTTTGTTTTTCTACTTAACATTCAAATTTTATGTGCATACTAATTATACCTTAATACTAAACTAAACATTTGAATAGTTGGTATAATTTTTGACTGCAAAAGATTGTGATTTAAAAAATTAATCATATTTAATATGGAAGTCATTCCAAGTTTCTAAGTACTACTGACTGCTCCCATTTATACTTGTATTTTACTATTAGTAACTATTTCCCACAAATTTATTTTGCATTGACAGTACTTTTGTTATTGCATATCAGTTAAACATATAATGTAAATTACCATTAGACTTAAAATGCAGTACAGTGTTATCAAGTCTGTTTAAAAAAAAACAAAATTAGAAATTAATTTGTATTATTATTATTTTTATTATTATTAAACCCATAGTGTAAGTATAAATGTAAAATATATAAATATATTTACTGTCTAGTTTTAATTTATTGATTGTAATTAATAATTAGTGTGTGTACTTTTTATAATTGTGCAATATATTTATTTATTATTATACATATTTTTTTTTCTTTATTATTATTATCATTATTAAATCATTTTTTAGACAATTATCAAGTAATAGTTAAGGTCGTGTTGTACATATATTTTCCATTTTACTACTTAAGCTAAGCATTTAACAAATGAATGGGCAATTTGTTTTATTCATTAATAATATTAAAATACTCGCAATTCAACATCAAAATAACATGTAATTATTATTAAAACAATTA